CTTACTTCAAATGATCATGAGCTGGCTGTGCGCGCTTTCGAGACAGGGTGTCGGTGCTGGTGCCGGTGCTGTGAGCTGGCTGTGTGCTTTGGACGATGTGTCGGTGCTGGGAGGTTCCCACGTTCTAGCTTTGGGATCAGACTGACGCTTCAACGAACACGGCTGTATCAACAATTGTAGAATAGCTAAGCTAAAGATGCTGCTCCAGCATCTGTATTGCCCTGTTGTGTTTGGAATAGTCTCGCTCTGTGTTGTTGTTGCTATGTTGGAGCGTTGCACGTGCAACCTCATACTGTTTTGCTCCCGAGATAGCGAGAGCTTTTGAGGTTCATACTTCAACAAATTAGAAAGGAATGCCTATGCAGGGTGCCGCTCCAGGGTGCTGCTGCTGCTACTGCGAGATGTTTATGCCAGCGGGCTGAGAACCGCGCTAGTAGTCGTGCACTTTTTTATCAAAGCAATGATCATGTCTTTGATGTTGTCACACGTTGCGTGAAAGTCAGGACCTTTCATCTTTATCATTTTTCAACGGTAAATAGCAGTGTTTTCTCATGTTTCCTCCGTAGCAACATCTGATTGCGTTGCAGGTGTTTATGTTGTGTTTTTGGTGAAATTACCTTGTTTTGGATTTTAATGCTACTTCTTAATTTGGGACTGTCCATTTTTGTGTGTAGTAGTAATATCACCCAAGCATTTTATCGACATTTGCAAGTTTTTTCTACATCTAACTTTTCATGTTTCTCGCCTCGAGACTCTCATCATGCGTGTTAGGTGCATCTTCGGCTTCTGGGATCAAAGACGTACGGTCGGTGATGTCCAACGTCTTCGGCATCTTTGCATCTCACATTTTGTTACATCATGCGAAGCAATGCATCTTCGTCTATTTTCCTTTCCGTGAAAACTACAATGGATCTTATCGGCGCACTTGGCATGCAACCACAGCCAAGGGGAGTTTAATCTTGTCAAGAGAAGGTGACCACAACCGTCACTGGATGTGAACACATGTTCCATAGATGGGCTTTGGGCTCGCGCGAAGATGGCAACTCCCGCCTCCATGCACACACACTAATGTCGAATGGTGGTGTCAACCCCCAAATCTTCAAGCGTTTGCAAAGGTACTGTTGGAGGTGAAAAACACAATTCAAGACTTTATGTTTTGTACAGGAAGCGCCGCTTCAAGCATCGTTCGACGCTGACGGAAAAATGTCTGACATCGATGCTTGGCTAGAGCTTTTCGAATTTGCGCTTCGCTGTTGCGAAGTGGCAAAGTGCCCTTAAACCCTTTAAAATAGAACAATTTTCATGGATGAACTTGTATGAAAATGTGTATTTCGCTACAGCGAAACGCGACTTTGAAGTGAAAACCATTGTATATAAGACGCACAACACTTGTTTTTCGAAAGTCAAAAGTCAAGTGTTGAGAGTCAGGAAGACAGCCAGAGGAGGGTTTATTTTTTATTTTTTTATTGATTTTTTATGTTTTTTTAATGAAAACTAATTGGTCCTCGAATTTTTGGGATTTGATTTTTATGATTTTTTTTTTTTATGTTTTTTTAATGATTTGGTTATGATATTTTTATGATTTTTTTTTATGAATTACTTTATGATTTTTTAATGTTTTTTATGATTTTTTTAATGGATTTCCACCAAATCAGAAATTCAACAAAATTCATAAAATTTTCATTAAAAAATCACAAAAATCATAATTTCTTTTGTAATTTTTTCATAAGTTGTATGCATTTTTTATGATTTTTTAATGATTTTTTACGATTTGCCGAGAATCGTAAACAATCATAAATTTTATGATTTTTAAATGATTTTTTTAATGAAAAATATGAATATTTTATGATTTTTTAATGACGTTTTTATGATTATTTTATGAAAATTTTGAGATTTGTTGAGCACATCAAGAAATTAAAAAATAGTTTCGTAAATTTTTCATAAAGTAAACACCAAACATTTTTTGTTCATAAATGCGTTTCGTAAAATTTTCATAAATAAATCATAAAAAAATATTTTGAAAACCATATCCCCTAGCCTCTCCCCAACTCACAAGTCAAGTGTGCCGAAACGCAGGTGGTCAGACCGTTTTGAACCCACCGGTTGAAGGCTGACAACCAAAAAGACGCAAAAACGCAGGCGCAGTTGTCAGCCCGGCGGGATGTTTATGTTGGAGACTGTATGCTGGTGCCCCTGCTAAAGTGCTGTGGGCAAATATTTTTTGTTATTTGGGGCCTATGCTGACGTATTCTTTCTAGTCAGTCCGTACGATTTTGCTGTAGTCCTGAGTTTTAGCCCTTCTTGCAGTTTGTTGTGTTCTTACCCAGGCAGCAAGCAACTGAACAATGTGTGTTTGTGTACCTTTCCTTGTCAATCATGCCCTGGAAGAGAACTGGCGGCCAAGGGTTGAGTTACAAAAGGTTCACTGACTCTTGAAACTTGTACACTCTTGTTTCCTGCGCAGGAACCTACTATGCCCAATCTTCTCGAGCCTGTGCCAAATGCCCAAAAAAGTTCTATTGCAGGGGAGGTGACCCTACTGATGCCAACAAAGTTTCTTGCGCTGCAGAGGAGACCACCTTACATTGGTATGCTGCTTCGAGGGAGGAGTGCGTATGCCTCCCTGGATATGGAATTGTTGATGGCCAATGTGTTGACTGTGCCAAAGGCTTCTACAAGTCTGCAACCGCCGATGAAGAATGTGTCAGATGCCCAGAAAACACAACGACATTCTTTGCAGGCGCATCCTCCAACTTTTCATGCATGCCAGAAACAATGTTGACGCCTGAAGATGGTGAATCCGAATTGAATGCCTCAATTTCCCATACACATGAAGTGCCGGTCCTGACATTCAACCTTTCTATCACAGCCGCTGGCATCGCTTCAGACGCAATCAGCAACACCGTGGCATCCGCATTGCGCAACATGTGGGGCACTCGTGCAATCACAGAAGTGGATCTGTTGTACGATAGCAAAAATTCATCCAGGCGCATGTCAACCATGAGGACTTTGGTGGTCACGCTCAAGTACTTGACTATGGAGGAGGCAGAGACATTTGCTGAAGAAGTAGATCTCAGTATTGCATCAGATGCTGTGTTGGATACCTTGCGTCAAGACGAAGTACTGGGCATAATAGATGTGCAGCCCTCCAATGTCTCAGTGTCCCTCCTACCTTTGATATGCCGGGCAAACGCCCTGGTACCACCAGGTGTGACTATTCGAAATGTCGAAGAGTGTCTTTGCACAAGCGGCTATGAGTACCTCGAAGAGAGCAAAGGCTGCAGTCCTTGTGGGATTGGAGAGTACAAGAGTACGCTCGCCAACGATAAATGCCAGTCATGTCCCATTAGAAAATCCACTTTGAAAGTCGGAGGTGCTTCAATCCAAGATTGCATATGCCAAATTGGCACTTTTGATGTTCCGATTGCACACCCGGCTTGTACTGCCCAGGAAACGGGGAGCCTTTGGAGTGTCCGCAGCACTCTCAGACCTTGGTGGCCTCTGCCAGATCGATTGATGACTGCTTGTGTGTGGCCGGCCATTACTCGAGTGGCAGCTGTGAGCCATGTGTCCCTGGAAGGTATAAGAGCAACATCGGCAATGAGACTTGTTCCCAAACATGCCCATCAAATGCCGATAGTTATCCTGGTGCCACCTCCTTGGAAGACTGTTTTTGTGTGAAGAACTACCATGCAATACTTTCCTCGAACGGTCGATTGGAACGCTGTGCCAGCTGCTTGCCCTATGTGGGCCTGTATTGCCCCGGTGGCTTTGAACCAAATTCCACTGAGCATGTGCAGCCTCGAGCTGCTGCAGGCTTCTACCAGACAGGAAGCACTTTCGCTACCAAGTGTCGAGTCGTGCTAGCTGATGGATCCAGCGCCTGTCTCGGAGACAACCAATGTGCAGAAGGAACCACAGGAATGCTTTGTGGCGAATGCCCGGCTGGCTGGGCCAAGTTTGAAGATGCTCATCCATGTGAGGAGTGTTGGGTAGGGGCCGCAACTGGTCAATTGAGCACTGCTATCGTTTTTGAGATCACCAAGATAGCAGCTTCAAATTTTGTTTTAGCAGCTTTGGCTGCGTCTGCGTCCGCCAATACGAACCTGCCACTTCACACCTACATGATCCGAAGCCTTACGCAATGGTTCACAGCTTGCGCCCTGATCACTCATTTCAATTTGGAACTGTTGGAGACGCCTTTTGCACAAGCATCCGTTTCGTCAGATTCCTGCGATGAAGAGCAGTTTGCACAACATGAGATTTCAATCCAAGCGATTGAACCGAACAGCACCAAAACCAGTGATATCAATGAGGCTCTTGAGAACTTTAGGCTCTCATGGCCAGTGGAAGTGAGCCACGCCATCGCTATGATCTTCGCTGTCGCAGCTGTGGTGCCAAAGCTTACGTCTGTGCAGTTCGCAGCCCAATGTCGAGCCTTCGAATTGTTTCCAGGTCGTCCGGATGCACAACGACTTGCACCTGCACTCTATTTTATCTCTTTGCCTGTGATCACCTTGTTTGCTACGTTTTTGGTTTGTGCTGTGGTTGTGTATTTCGTGGTTCCAGTTGCAAGCCGCTTTGGGGTGCATTTCAACCAGGAGGCCAAGACGAAACAGAAGAAGAGAAAGCGGATTCAAGAATTGTTTCATGGTTCTTGGACACATGACTTGAAGTTGTCAAACATGCCGCTTGACCTGCCGAAATTCCGTGGTCTGGACTCCTTCGCTTCAATTGTTGACACGCACCAGAGATTTGCCAAAGAGATTTGTCGGATGAAAAGTGCCAGAGACCCTCAGCTTGAAGCTGTACTTGCAGAAAAGGGTTTAGATATAAGATCTTTCAGCTCTCCATCAACTGACTTCTTATTCGCAAAATTCTCAGAAGAAGACTTGAAGAAGGTCTCTTGCCTGCAAAGAGCAGCAATAAAATTCAATGACTTCTCAGGTTTTGATTGAGTCAAGTTGCTGAACTGCCATTGCTCCACAAAACTGGCTCAGGTGATCAAAGAACCCTTCGTTCCATTGGAGCTCATCAGTGCTTTAGTTCATCGTGCCCAGGAATGGGATTTACGAGGCAAGGCGATGGGAATGAAGCAAGAGTGTAATGAGTGTAATATATACGTCATACAAGTTGAACGGCAGAAGAGGTCCTTTTGGGAGCCTCAAAAGGTGTCTTTTGCATGTTGTTCGAAGCGTTTGGCGCTCTCTCTCTCTCTCTCCCCTTGCAAAACAGCTTTAATTCGTGTTGTTTAAAGGGAAGCATTAAACCGGTGAGAAACACATGAATGCTGATACATGATGTGAGGCGCTTCGGAGGAAAGGCCTGCAAAGCAATCTGGCCGTTTGCAAGAGGCAGCTTTAGCTTCAGAAGCAGAACAACAGGCAAAGGATGACTTGCGTCAAGGTACTGCTTTGCCTGACACCACCCGCGATCTCAGTAGTTTGAACGTCTGGACGGTCGATTGTTTGGACTTTGGCCTCTTCACTCCAAAGCCAGGTCTTAAGACACTGTTGATTCAGAGTGTGCCAGTCGTTTGGCCGACTTTGATTGCCATTTGGCCCCAACTTCTTTCACAGTTTCTGTCGTTAGTGTGGTGCACGCCCATCAGGGAGGATGCGTGCGTGCGGCCACGGCTGGTGCCAAATCCAAGTGTTGTTTGTTTCAGCGACGATCACTGGCCTTTGTTTATCATCTCAATCGTTGGATTGAGTGTTTGGTGTCTGGGCATTCCATGTTGGTTGTTTGTGCTGATCTACCGCTTGGGGAAAACGCGGCAAGAGCTCGAAAGTGGGCGAAAGTATGGGCTCTTTATTCGCGGTTTGGAACCATCGATGTGGTGGTGGGATCTTCTGATCAAACGTGCAGACATTGCTCTGATGATGCTGATAGCCTACACTTCCATGATTGAAGATGACACAGCCAAGCTGTTTGTATTCGCTTTCATATCAGGCATACTGCTTTGCCTTACAACTTGGTTCAAGCCATACTCCAACAACCAAGCAGAAATTCTGGACATAATGGAGACCTGTTTGCTTACTACACGCTTTGTGCTCTACTTTGTCGTGGCCATGTTATTGATAATTTTTCCATCTCCAACAACAGTCAGGCTGTGTGCTCTTTTCGTGTTGGTGATGCTGATTTCCGTGTGCGCCTTTGCAGTTTTGCATATCATTGCTCAAGCTCTTCGCCAAGAACAGAAACAAAGCCTGGCGAACGAGGACAGCGACGATGACGAGGAAGAAGATGTACAGGAGACGTTCTCTATGTTCCTTTTTCTCACTTCCATTGTTAGATTCTTTGTAATTACTGAAGGCAGTCCTGAGAGTGACAAGGTCAGGACTTTCAGCTTGATTATGAACATCGCCGTCGCCGGGCAACATAAATGTATATATTCAAGCGGGGGGTATACCACCCTCCCATCAAGATGGACAGAGTGATTTGTTGTTTCCAATCCGTTGAAAGCGATCTGAGATTCAAACAGTTTCAAGGTGCCGGTCTGGCGTGACAGATCGCTGCGGGAATACGGTCTTCTGCGCGACAGCACGTAGAATTCATGTCACGTAGATGTCTCAGTGTCGGGGAACCACATGGAATGTATATCAATAATTACTAAATATTACTAATGACTAATGGTTGTTCAGTTATTATACATCAACTTGAGCTGTGGTTCTTGGAATCTAAAAGCCAAATAGATGTAGGCAATCTCAATTGAGCAGCCTCATGTCAACTTACACGTGCCTCCGGTGCCAAGTGCGCAATCCAAATGCCAAGTCCTGCCGAAGCAAGAACCAACCAACAAAACGATCGTTCCCGAAACTATCTTCACATTCAGAAGACTGACTGTGTCCTTTCAAAAGGCGATGAGTTCCAATGTCTTGCCTTTGTCAAGGTCTTGAACCAAACACAAAATCCGTTGCCTTCCATTACACTTTTCTGAAACTGTGGTTTAACTTATTGGCAACAAAAAACAATCTTGTGTCTGAATGACTGTCGCGTGACAAGGAAGGACAGGTAGCAGGATTAAGCTTTTACTGTATCATTTCTTTTATATAGGAGGGAGAACGACGTTTCTTGTGATTGTTACGGAGAGGCTCTTACTACGAGCATGATGCCGTCAGAAATTTGATCATAGCGCTTGAGTTTGTGAACGTTGTCCGCCAATTAAGAAAACAATCAGGCTTATGATTAGAGAAACTGGGCATTTGCGGTTTCAGTTCTGTTCTTTCCATTTGGGTTCAGGTTTGAGGAGTTCTTCGCTTGTTGCTTTTGATTCGGTCCAGGTGCTCGCTTCGTAGTGTTCGTTGTCTCTTTGTTAGCAAACATTGGAGGACTTGCTGCGGGTGTATCAGTGTGAGAACAACCGGGAGCCTGCTCGGTTGTAGTTACTTCTACAACAACAGCAACTACCACCACCACTACGACTACGAGTACGATACGACTACCACTACCACTACTATTACTACTACTACTACTACTACTTCTACTTCTACTACTACTACTACTACTACTACTACTACTACTATTACGACTACGATTACGACTACGACTACGACCACCACTACTTCTATGTTTTGTGCAGTCTACTCCTACTACTACCACCACCACTACTTCTATACTATATTTGCTTGTTTGCCAATGTGTTCTTTTGCCTTTCTGATTCCACAAAGCAGCACTGAGTGAAAGCCAATGTTGGCCTCCACCGCAGTGGAGGAGCTGGTCTCCAAGAAGTCCACTGTCCGAAAGATCGCAGGCGCGACGCCGAAGGGTCATTCTTTTGGCGAGGATTTCTCGAACTTCCGGTTGTCCGTAATGCACTCCCCCATGCATTGTTTTTTGTGTAAACAGCAATCTAGCAAACACATGGTGTTGGAATCACCATATCTTTTGTTAAAATCAACTTGATGTTTAACGAAAGCTGACTTCATTTGAAACATTGTTTTTTGCCATTCTGAGTTGCACTCCTTCGTTGGAACAAGGATTTCTGCACTGTCCTTCACTTTTCAAGTACTGTACCTCAATAGGTTCCATACTTGTTTGCAGAGGCAGTGCAGCACTCTCGAGGAAAAGACCTGTCCAGTTTCAAGGGTTATTTTGGCTTAAACACATGTCCGATTCAATGTATTGTATAAAGAGCCTGTTAACACACAATCAAGTCAAGCAAACGTGTGAGCCCAAGCCTTCCAGCTGCCAACATAGAGTGCCCTGTGAAACAATTCTTCTGCCTTAGGAGCGTAGCACCACTTTCTTCGCGGTAATGCTGAGACATCGTATATAGAGACATACGACAAAGACTTGGGTCTTTTAAAGCAGACACAAAGCAAACCACTATGAGGCCCAGGAACCATTCGAAACGATCCTTTGAGGCGCATTTAGGCGGAAGGCCCAAGGACTCACTATTGACGTTTGGGCCTTGGTTCAAAAAGTGAATTATGTGCAGCAAGGCCGCATTATGTGACCGCAAAGCAGTTCACGTACATATTACATATTATATAATATAATGAGGACATTTCTGCGCTGTTGCAACAGTGCGGCAGGTGTTGCTTTTGCGCCACGTGCAACGTAAAATTGTTCTGATACCTGTCCTTCTTCTTGCCCCCCCAGCTCCTGGACCCCAGTTCTTGCTCCCCAGCCCCCTTTGCATTTAGCAATTGGATTTCGGTTTACTGCGGGAGCTTTAGCAACACATACTAGTAGTTGTAAGGGTTGAAACGTCCCAGTCAATTGAGTTGCTTCCCGCTGTTCGGTTGCAAAACTGGGTTTATAAGCTGTCTCTTTCGTCGACCAGACAGTCGATCATATACTCGCCACCCCAATTTCCTACCCCACGATGCACTTGCACGCTTTTCATATTACTGGCAAACAAACAACCCCTTGCCACGGTTTGGATAGTTCCTCATTACAGACGTGTCACTTCATGCCATACACCCTGCAACATCTCCAAATCAAAAGTTGCAAAACATTGCACTTTGCTTGTGTGTTTGCGTCTATTCTCCCACCACCATTTCGCTTCCAGACGCATCTCATGGTGCCAACTATGCGATTCCGATCCCAAACGAAGATGTTCGCCCTCTAGTCAATGAAAGCGGCGCAACTCCATCGGCAAACTCCTCAAGAAACACCGAATCGGCGGATGTTTGCTGTTTTGTTTGTAAACTGACATTGTTGTGGGTTTCAGTGCGGAAAAAGCATGTTGCTCTGCCTGTCTGATTTCAGATTGTGTTTTGTCAGGCACTTTCAAGCGGTTGAAGCGCGCAGTATTGGAGAACGTGGTGCCTTTTTTTCGGGAAAATGAAGAGGAGCAGTGGACCTTGGTTTGGTCTCCTGAAATACAAAATCCACGTCATCAGAAACTTAAAAAATCACGGAGTCGCGGACGCCCAAGCTCACATGGCAGCAGCCTCAGATGGGAAGCGGATTGAATCATGAACTATCAAGCCAATCAGCCCGAAAACAAATTGTGGGTCATGTGTGTTGCTTCCTACTTGTTGGTTGCACTTGCTGCGAACACCAGCTATTGAGTGACAGCTCCTTATCTTATTGCTGAGTGCGCATACCGTGTGCACATGCTTAGGCCGAAGACGGACGATATTCTTCCAAGCGGGGTAATTATACATGTTGGTTCTTCGAAAGAAATTGAATAGAGCGCGTAGAGAGATGATTGACCGCATGCGTCCGTGTTCAAGTCAAAAGGGAAGGGCGGCGCACTTGGTCCGCCCTGGACGGCGCAAGTATTGAGCACTGCGATTGGATTCTTCTCCCGGCACATCCCCTCTAAAGATCTTGAGGAGTTGGTCGAAGAAACTGCTTAACAGGTGGCCTGTTTGGTGTGGGTCAAAGGTCTTCAGAGCGGTGCGAGTGCTGCAAGGAGGCTGAGACCTCCCCCTTTGATATTGGTTTGAGTTGCATGGATTGAGTCAGTTTCGATTGGATGTCTTGTTTGGGCGCTGTTGCGGGAACCGGGAGCCTGCGGACCGGGTTGAACGGCCACCCCATTTTTGAGGAGGAACCCTCCACCGCAAGCAGAATCGTCGGCGAAAGCCCACCTTCAGTGAGCAGAGGTTTGAAATTGATTTCGCAAGGTGAAACCCACTGGGTGGCTCGCTGATCTTCTCATTTGAGCAACAGTCAGGGCCGCGTTCCGGCTCATCTTCATTGGTTTCCCTCACTCTTTGGCCATTTTGACTGCCGACATTTCTGCGCGCTCTCTTTGGTAAGAAAGAATATAAATCATCGAGTAGAAACAATAAGCTACTAGGAACAAGTGCATCGCTACTAGGAGCAAACGGCCTTACTAGTAGTAACAATGTTCGCCATTAGAAACAAAGTGCTTGACAGAAACTAAGCGTTGGTGGTTTGATCCAGCGAAGAGGCCACGGCATACATATTCTTCACCGGAGTATCGCTCCTCTGACAGAGGCATCACCACCAAGGCACATGTCTGTTTTCCTGAAGGCGGACGTTACAACATCTTCATCTGGATGAATTGGAGGCAACGTGATAGAGCTTGATCAGGTCATTTTAGATGACTTGTGGAGAAGAAACAACAACAAGAACACATCAGTGAGTATATACCAGAATGAGATCACAGGTCAAAACACATTCTGCACACAAGCGAGCCACCTTCAGACATGCCTGCCATCTCCCCCTTGCACAGATGCTGTCAAGGTGGAGCTAGAGTTTTGCTTCCCTCAACGTTCCCCAGCTGCGAAGCACTGCTCGCACAACCCAACAGGGACAGGCATTGCTATCGCATGCTATCCCAGTTTGGAAGCTGGCTGATTTGGCTCTGGTGTGATAGGTGCACGGGCGTGCTGCTTTGTTTGATCAACTTGTTCATCGCCAAGAAGATCCAAGAAGACATATAACTGCTGGCACAGGATTGGGGTGGCAAGGCTTTTTGCTACCATATTCTAGTAGCAGTATCCATCCAGGATTCCAAAGCCCAAGGCAGCAACTTGGAGGAAAGCACGACAAATACAAACAGTTTAGATCAAAATATCGTACCCCTTTGTATGTCTTCAAAGGCACGCTTCACAAAGGGTGCAACGACAAGAAGAACTTGTGCTTGGACCTTTGCTGGTCTGATCCGCCAGCTCTCTCCTACTCCAGGCCGGCCAAAGAGCTCCCTTCGCAAAGCTAACCACTCGCAAGGGAGCGAAGGGAGCGTAACAACCCCTCCCCAAACCTATCCAGCTCAGCAGAGCTCCTCACGCTCAAAGGCAGACTTGAAAGCAGTAACGGCCAAGCGTGTCTTTTTGTCTCGTGGGACTCGTTGGCCGCACTTGCGAATCCATGAAGTGATGATGAAACGACCTGAACAGATAAGGTTGTTGAATTGAAACCAGTCAAAAATGGATGGCTTTCATGCGATCTGAGCCGTGTGCCAAACATGTTCTGGCCTGCTTTGCTTTGAGCCATTTGGTGCAAGCACGGTTTCACAAGACTCGAAATGTACCAAGTCTCAAATTGCAGAATCAAGAAACTTTTGGCTTTGTGGGGAAATGTCGCCTTCTTATGTGTGCTTTTCTGCGCACTGACCAGTTCATCCCGGGCTACATGGATACGGCTTTAAGATCCCCTCGCTCTGCCGACGGATCTTGTTTCAGACGTCGAGGTCTTTCGAGGTCTTTCGCGCGCCCTGAGGGTGCTCCAAACTCACCTGTTTGCTCCAAACAACTCTGTTCCAAACATATGGCTGTCTTAAGGCACAGCACCCTGGCTTACTTAGAACCGTGATTGCACAAAATTTGCAGTTCAAGAAGCGTTGAGCCAGAACTGTGCAAAACCCATTTGGATAGACTTGTGCAAGGTCAGTATTCCATTCCCAGATATTCCAGACACTGCGCGGTGCGTTTGGAGCCTTGCTGGTCGGTGCTACGGTCGGTCGGTGCTTTGGTTTTTAACGCACCGCACCTTCTGGAACGAGCAGGGTTCTTGATCCAAGAGTCAGCGCTGCTCGAGTGAAGAACACCGCGATGGGTCTTGAGCTATTTTTAGCTACCGCAACTCAGAAGTTCCTTCTTTTGACTAGGGAAGAGTGAGTAGACGTCCTTTCTTCTTGACCAAGTTCCACTGTAACACAGTACTGGGTTGGAGCAATACTTGTGATCGGAAGTGCAGGCCGATGCAGCGTGGTGAAGTGTAGTGTTGGAGAACAACCCTCTTTTACCACCCATACCTGTCAAAACACAACCACGTGAAACATACAGTATTGTTTTCAGCATATGTTTTTACCACGAAACTATTGTTTTCTGCGTGTTTGTTCACAACAATAGTGTTTTTTTAATGCCACCGCGGCATCCACAATCTCGAACAAAATCATGCGCCTCGCACAGCCATGATACTGCGAGGTGCAAATTTCACAGCCATACAGTGCAGGCCGGTGCAGACTTCGGTGCCAATGCGCAGCACAAACCCGCAAAAGCGATGTATATACACCTTTTAAAAAAACGTTGTATCCGCAATCTCAACGCGTTGACAGATGAACCGTCGCTTGAAAAGCAAACCTCGCACCACGCTGAATGTTTGGAATGGTCTTGAGGTTTTCCTCATATGCAAACGTCGCAACCTTGTCTGAGACTTGTCACAAAAGACTCAGACTCAGTTTTCAACACTCAAAACCCGAAATGGCATGGCACAGCAAAGCGAAGTGGAGATGTCAAAAACGCTGCGTCCGCACAGTGAAATCAAACCAACTGCTGCCGCACGACAGATGTCTTGGATTCTTTTCAGGAATCTGACACATATGCATATTATGATTCAAGTACCTTCCTTCCTAACACAAGGTCCAAAAGCACACACACCCTTTGGCATCGACTTGAGGCAAAGCCACAGCAGACGACAATCGATCCAGACGACGTGACAAACGATGTAACCGAAAACGACGGGCTTTGCAAACACAGTGCCAACCTCCAAACTTAGACCGTTGAACCTTTGAACAGTTCGCCAAGTGGCTGGTGCACGTCTATAGATCCCACAGGTGCGTTGAAGATGATGTATTTTGGTGTACTGAGTGGGTTGCTTGACTTGTTGCTTGAGTCATGTATGCGGCCTTTGAAGAGTTGACCAAGGTGTGCGGAACAAACTGCAGCGTGCTGTGATGAGGGCAAGGGCAATCTTTTTGAGATTTGGGATCTCAATTCAGCGCGGCTCTGTGGTGCGCGCGTACGAGGAGTTTCATTCTTTGTGGCTGGAAGAATTTGAGCAGAACCGCGTGCCCGGTGTGGGGACGCTCTGCGCATTGGTGATAGCTCATCGGCAGTTGCCCAACAAGGGGGATGTGACGGAAGCTTGGGCCAGTGAGGCTGAGAAAGTGCTGAAAGATGCTGCCAAAGAATGGGTGTTGCCAGCGCATGAATTCACCGACGCGGTGCACCGATTGGGTTGCTGCAACTCAAAAGATCATTGTGTGGTGACCAAATTCGTCCATTTTTGGGGGGAAGGAAGAAGGAGCCAGACATCATTCAAAGCTTGTGGTGTTTTGACTTCAACCTAGGTTCCCTCCCAGTGGAAAAAGTCCTGAAGCTGATCAACATGGTTGACGAAGCCCTACTAGCTATGCGATATCTCAAGGCGCCAGTGCCAGTGTCGGACACTTTCACTGACTGGCTAACATAAGAGTATCTTTAAAGGAGTGTGTAAATCGATGTAAATCGCACATCCACATCAACAAATCAGTTCCCAGACAGTTAAGACAGAATGAAACAGAGAAGTCCCAGGGTGAAAGAGAGGAAGTGCTGGAGAGGCTTCCCAAAGTTCCCGTCAAAAATTGGTATACAGTATACAGAGTGTGAAAGGCCATTCGTTGGCGCTCTCAGATCGTCCAGAATGAAACAAACGGGTGTGTATTTCAATAGGGAGAGCTGGCTCTGGCTGGGTAGACTCGTCTATTTTCCTTTCTTCTAGGGGGTCGAACTGGGAGATCTCCCCAATTTGCACACCCAAAGCTCATTGCATTCGGATGTTTTTGTGGTTTTGTGCAGGACGGCGATCCAGGAGATGCACTTGAAACGCTGCTGAAAGGTCCAGTGGAGGATAGTTGAAGGGAATTGATAGCCTCAAAGCAACTCCAATTTTGATAGCCTCAAAGCGGTTGGACTGTCGTGACTGAATGAATCCAATTTTGACGTGCTTCTGTTTTTCTGTCAAGGACCATGAAGGAGATCAGGTACTTGAGGAGCTGCCCGCAGATATTCAGGAGAATGGGTAACTACAGTCAAGACAAAATGACACATGCTTGACTGACACTTGATTCACTGCTCTTCGTTGCGCTTCTTTTCTGTGAAGGACCATGAAGAAGATCATGTACTTGAGCTGCTACCCGCAATTATTCAGGAGGATGGGTAACTACAGTCAAGATAAAATGACACATGCTTGACTGACACTTCGTTGCGCTTCTTTTCTGTGAAGGACCATGAACGAGATATACTTGAGCTGCTGCCCACCGTTCCTCCAGAGGATAAGCGACGCCAGCGAGCGGATTTGAAGTTCCAAAAGCATATAGCATTGCAGGTTCAATCGTCATCGGGTTTAGAGGCTCAAAAGATCATAGTGGTGACAAAATCGTCCATTTTCGGGGGGAAGGAAGGAGCCAGACATCATTCAAAGCTTGTGGTGCTTTGACTTCAGCCTAGGTTCCCTCCCGGTGGAGAAGGCACTGAAGTTGATCAGCATGGTTGACGAAGCCCTAGCTATGCGATATCTCAAGGCGCAACTGTCAATGCTTGACAGCAATGAGAGAAAGTAGAAAGAGGCTTTTTCAGCAGAGAAAGTACGGAGCAGTAGGGGGTTGCAAGAGAAGTGCAGTTTCCACACACGTTTTCGACACGTCGAGAGGGACACGTCGAGATTTCGTTCGGTCGAAGACAGAAAAGAAAGGACTCTTGGAAGTGAAGAAATGCCTTGAAGAAATGTCTTGATTCCTACAGAAAGTGTGGCAAAGTAACGTAGAGGTTTCAAGAGAACAGTCAACAAGTACAGCTTTTAAGAGAACACGAAGAGGAGTGGAGGTGTCCTCAGAAAGGTACAGCGAATTGGAGCTAAGGCTAAGGAGTAGAGACTAAAGGTTGTAAAGAAGAGCTGCAGAAAATAGACTTCCAGAGCGCAGCAAAGAAACATACAGGGTTTAAGTGTTGACAAAAGTATAGAAAAGGGGAGAGCTTCACAGAAAGGTAGAGATGTCCAGAGACGTGTACCACATGAGTTTGGGAAATGTGCAGCAGAGATAGCGGAGCAAAATATAGATATTTGCGGATGCTTCACACTTCACACGATACAAATCAGCACACCACATCACTGAATCTTACGCAATACAGATTTGACACATCAACACATCACACTTCTCCCATAGCTAGAACAGATTTCACCGCGAACGCGACGACAACACACCCTACACACGTGACGCGACGTCAACGCAAGTCACCAATTTTTTAACGACCACACAGACTATACTTCTATTCCGCCGCAATTCATTACTCAATCCACGCACCAACCACATACATGCACAGATCACAACAGAACACCACTCCGTCGCCCGTTCCGTCGCCACGTCACGCCGTGCCCATTTCACTCCGCGGCCGTTTCACACTTGTGAAGCCGACCTGGCCAATGAGGGCTGTGCCGAGGCTGTGCTGGTCGGTTTGATGCTTCGGTTCACCAAGCATTTGGGACTCGCGCAGGATGAACACCGAGATACACATGTGGCCACTTTGGTGGCCGAATGACATGAAGCCGTCAAGCCGCCAAGCCTGGTTTGATGTTTTCGAAAAGAGTTTTGATGATTGAGTTGGAACTTGTAGTCAGTTGTTTGATGGAATTGCTTGTTTGTTGCGTGCAAGGATTGCCAAATTGACACATCTGCGGTGCCGATTCTGCCACTGTTTGGCTGATGAGAAGCCAAAGCAGTGGAGAGCTGAGTTCCCAGTTTGGCTGCTTTGCTGCTGGATGGATATCCCCAATTAATTCGATGATGCCCCAAGACATCCCAAAGTCAGGAGTCAGCTTTCTTTTTTTCTCACGTGAGAAAAAATCATTACACTTTCCATCAAGTGTTCGAAAGATGGACACATCGAACGATAGACACAATACCGAAATGCCTACTGAGGGCCTACTAGGCTCCTCAATGCTGTACAACAGAAGCGATTTGAGCTGGATTTGCTGGGATGAACGCTCAAGGCCATTGAGGTGCCAGTTTTGAAGGCAGCTTGGCCATGTTGCGTTTCTTCTTGTTCATCAAGGATCAATGCATCCTTAACCCAGCCAACCACCATGCGATTCTATATCGAGCGCCGTTTTCTGGCCATCCTTGAAGCCTCGGGTGTTTACCCAAATGTTGGCATCAAGTGATCCCGCTAGAAGTGTAATGCAACCTTAATGAATTTTGTAGCAACCATCGGAAGCATGGTATCAAGATGGCTTCGACACGTGCGCATTGCGAAGATAATGTGAGGGCCATTGAACAACATGGCTGGAAGATAGCAACCTCAGTGCAGAAACAGCGAGAGTCAACGTCCAAACGAGTTTAGTGAGTTCGTGCGTGTTTCAACGCTCCCTTTTGGCGCTTGCTATGCCCAAATAACATCAAATAACCCACATTTCGCTGTGCACTTGATTTGCAAATTGTTTCCGGTTCATCGTTTCATTCATACAGAATGAAAAAGGACTCAAATCGGATCGAGAGTTGGAACACCGGCCGTCAGCCTCGACGCTCCGACAGGGTGCTGGCCTTGGGAACGGTTCGATCGAGGAAACGCGCCCATCACACATGCAGACACATCCCTCGCCACATCCATCGGATGGCCGTGTCGTAAGACACGTGGGCCGTCAGACGACGGTCCGGCACGTGTCGATGCGAGGTCAATGCGCTGAGATCGTCGCCGAACACTTAGCTGTCGACCTCGCCGTGTGACTGTGGAGAAGCGGAATGTCCAGCTTCCAAATTTCAAGCGCGTGGCGCGTGGCAGTGATGCAGATGTGATACATATCACCTCATTGGCCAGGCATTCTCATGCGTTTGTAAGACTATTTTTGGACCTACAATTACGATCATGTAATGAGGATGTAACTGCAGTTCATGCACGTTGCCAAGCTGCTGACATGTCTGGTCTAGTGATTCATGTCCTCTTCCATGTCTTTTTGCTTGATCCTTGAAGCATTATAAGAGAGCAAATATTCATGTCGACTTCTGCAGAGAGTGACCGAGTTGGCGATCAGTTGGAAGCTGTGCATTCCTCGGTGACACGACTGACCGTTTCTAGCAATTCACCTTTGAAGAAGTGAGCACTATGGCACTAATGACAACACCTTAAATATTTGTACATCTGGGTGGAAATGCTTGATGGCTTCACTGCTACAGCACATGACCTGGCATATGAACCCTTGCTCTGAGTTTGCAGGGAGGCCCTGCAAAAGCAGTAGCGAAGGGCTTTATCAGCACTGGTTATGGCAGTTCTGGAAACTGCAAAGCTGCTAGACTGGGAGTTACTGTAGGGTGTAGAGTCCAAGCAGAACCCCCCCCCCCCCACAGCGTGTTCAAGCAGGGCGCCTGGGTGGCCCGCCATGGAGAACACGGACCAAACGAAGGAGCCGAAGGCGAAGCCTAAGGCTAAGGCCTCCGGCAGGAAGGTGCAATCCAAGAAAGAGCAGGACATGGGGGGCAAAGGGTGTGAGAACATGAACAAAGCCACTGCTTCTATTTGCTTCTAGAGAACCTCTAAGTAGAAGGGATTGTGATAAGATTGTGTTGTTGAGTGTGCCACCGCGCCGATGTTTTGGCAGATCATGTTCCAACCAGCTGTCGGACCGACGGGCCCTGAGGATGTCCATCACGAGGAGGTGGAGACATCCCCACATGGTTTCCTCTCCGTTTGTGAATCTTGTCAATGGGAGAACAAAGAGATGTGCCAATGGGAGAAGGAGCGGCCCGAGCAGGTGTCGATGGCGAGTTTGGAGACTGGCCTCCACGTGGCGGGGTTGGAGGTCTTTGAAGCTGAGAAGCTTCAAGAGGACATCAAAAAATGCCTCGAGTTGTTTTGAACACAAATTAGATAAGCTATACATATATTAATAAGATAAGCTATGTAGTGCAATCGCATGATTGGCAACCCGCCCGAAGGTTGCCTATTGAGGGGGTGTCAGACAGTTGGACATTTTTTGTTGTATAAGTACGAAGCCAGTCGATAGGCTAGGCTGAAGTTCCGTGCAAACGAAGTGAGTTTAGGTCAAAGACGGTATGTTTTGGAAGGTGAAGGGGACCCCCACAGAGCCTGCTGTAGGAGAGCGAAAAAAGGATACCAGTAGTAAAGTCGCGTTTTGATGGCTCTTGTGATGCGAGTGATGCAGCACTGGTTGACACTAGCATTGTTTGCATCATCAATTGGGCGTGAGCCATGCAGGAATCTCTGCAGGGTCTTTCACTGATAAGCCCTGCGCCCGGGAAATCCATGAAGAAGCACAATACAAACCCGATGTGCCTCCCTATCCTAGACAGCACCCTGATAGGAAGAAACAATATAAGAACTCTCTGAACTTGAAATGAAATCCGCATTGAACCTGGTTTGCTTGCTAGGTACCAACTCCGAAAGGCGAAAAGCAACCACACCATGACCAGGCACACTCGGGCTGAACGGCTCGCACTGCCTCGTTTAGGAAATGTTACTGAAATCTTCTAACCCACCCATGACATATCCCACCATGAAAGGGCTTGGACTTGTCACAAATGCCAAAAGGGCTTGCCTAGCCTTCCTAGGCCGTGGAGTGATGCCAGTATCCAGAAGCATTTCACTGCTGAGCATCCTGATGACACACCTACTGAGGCTTATAGGCACAAGCAACGAGAAGATCCTGCCCTCAGGGAACGAATGAAGAAGCGAGGGGCGTGGGTTGGTCAGGTCAAGCAAAAACGCCAGCAAGAGAAACTTCACACCCTGACACAGGCCATGACCTTAGTTACCTTTGTTTCAAGGATCCACCTCCTGAAGGTTTTCGTCGCAATCAGCAGAGTCTCCTGCTGCTCACTACGCCCTGCAGGGGTCAAGGAGGTCCCAGCACTTTCAAAAATAATCGTGTGCTGACACTCTGAAACCGATCTACAAGAGCGCCCCGGCCCGCCTGCGGTCTCTTGCTCAGGTCAGCCAAGGTAACTATGATGCGGCGGTTGCTGCTTTCAAGTTGTCAGAGGCCGAAGCTACCCATGTGCTAGGCGATCGTCTTACAAAACCTGAGGTGCCCGGTCAGGACCCCGCAGTTGGCGTTCGGCATGGTGAGGCTAAAAAGCCACCGCCACGTCGACGTGTTCAACACCAGGATCGTCTTAGAGTTTGGACCTTCAACTGCGGCAGAGCTAAACAGGCTTGGAACCATATGGTTAGCAAAGATTCCCCAAAAGTCGTTTTTCTCCAAGAGACTGCCTTTAAGAAACATGAGTGGGTTTCTTTCCAGAATGTGGCTCTCAAAAATGGCTACCATGCTTTCTTCTCCGGAAGCCACTCCCCAGGAATGTCCTTTCAGGTATTCTCTTCAGAGTGCCAGCTTGGAAATTAATGCTTCTGGTTCTCCCACGCGATGGAATGGTAACCGATGTATTGATTATTTCCTTTGTAACACCTTCCATGGCACTCCCGAAACTCCGGCCATTGCTTTGTCTGATCGCAAAATACAAGAG